CAAGAAACTTTTTATTTCCAGCCTGTCTCCCCAGACGAATTTGGTCTTCACCACAGAATGAGTTTGACAGCTCTGCCCTCCACCATGAATGATTAATTTGTTATGGGTGTCTAGTTTAACCAAAGATGGATTTGAACAGAAAAAGCCCTTGTATACTTGCTATTTGGTAAAGCTGCTTTAATGTAGGTGGAAAGCAAGAGAACCAAGTCTCATTTTTAAATGTCATTTTTCTCATTATAGTAATCCTCCTGTGTATATCAAAACTGATCATGTGAAAATATGTATGACAAGTATTTCATATTTAGATTTAGAACACAAAGTGGAGCTAAGAACCCTTTGTATTTCCCTAGATTGCTTAAAACCTACAGAAATTGTAAGGTAGAGATATATATACAGCATTCATGAAAAAAGTTTTCAAAAAGTTGAGAAATCTGATTAAACTAAGAAGCTGAAATAAGAAAATACTACAAATAAACACAGTAACAGATTATGGCCCAAAACACAGGCTTGCATATGGCTGATAAGGAATTTGAACTGTGTGTACAGACAGATTTCACTAAACTTTTTTTTTTTTTTTTAAGAAAGATGTGTATGGGGAGAGAAGCAGATGGGGAGGAAGAGAAGCACCATATGAAGCTGACAGAGAAGACAGGAGGAAGCATATGTTGTGACATGAAAACTATAACCCTGAAAAAAGCTAAGGGTAAGTGCTGGTTTAAAGAAGCTTTGAACACTAAGCTATGAAACACCCTGTTTGATTCTTCCTGAGTTCAAGGAAATAGGATGTTGCATATTCACTCTGAATAAGTGGCAATGCATCAAAGAAATAACCAACTGATTAATTTCTCATCTGAATGGGAAAAGCCTGCAGAATTCTAATTTTGGTAGAATACTGAAATTAAAAAAGAGAAGTACAATATATTTAGGGTAAGCTATTACAGAGATACCTATAAGTTTCAAACTGACAAAATGAGGAAAACAGAATTTGTTTGGTTCAAGAGCACAAACAGGATTTATAACAAACTAATGAGATTTATTTTGAAATCTATTATTCCATATCTATGTAGGAGAAAAAAAGATGATTCAAAAATTTTGTTTTGTTGTAGAGGAGCTGATGCTCATACCTGCAAGAAATCAAGCAAAAGAACTCTGGCTTTCACTTTAAGAGGTGAAAGGAAAATATTTGTGAAGGGAGAAAGAAGTTAACATTGATAAGCAATACAAAATATAGGTTTTTTTCAAAACTGTTATTTACCGTTTTAGACAGAAGGAGATGAATGAGTAAACAGGTTGTCAGACCAACTCAAACTGTACTGATTGATTAATGTATGGACAGGAATAGGTTGCACAAAGTTACTGTGTTTGTAGGCATTTATTCAAGTGCTGGAGCACTTGCATATAACTAATCTCTCCTTCATATATAAACAGCTAATTAAGAAGGTAACTGAAATGCGAGTCACCTACAATTTTATGTTATGTTTAATTCAACTATATTTATGAAACTATAATCTGATTTAGAACTGAAAATTTCATATGCTATTTTGTTGTCACACCAACTTCATTCTTGCTTGCTCAGACATTTTGAGAAGTGTTTATAATAATATATTTTAAATTCATAATTTACAAATACTATAGAAGTTCACTCATTAGACCTTGTTTTTCCTCCCAGTGCTAAGTTTCTATGTTTCTTAATAGTCTCTTTGATTTTCAGTGAACAAAGAGTACACTTTGTGGCACCTACAGATTAAACACAGTAAATGCTGGTTGCTGCTTTCTTCAAAAATAATACATGCAGACACAAAAGCTCGGGGAGCTTACAAGCTCATTGTGTTGAACCACAAACACAAGGAAAAATTTTCTCTACAGCTGGGTCATATTTCACAAAATGAGACCTTAATATTTTGTAACATGGACATCTATGTTAAAGAACTTAAAAATTGTCCTCTACTTTGAAGAGAGAAACAAAACCACATATACATGTACTATATGCTACAATTATTAGTAGATCAGTAGCTGATGATTGTGTATGTGATAGAGAATTGAAGCTATTAAGAATTACACTCATTCCCCACCCCACCCCCCACACCCCCCCAAGTAGTGTCTTACCTGTTTTACCCATTTTGGACACCAAAAAACATTGCTATTGCTCAAGTATTTATCATGTGGAAGTGCTTGCCTGTTTCCTCTCCTGCCCCTTTTGGGCCTAAGTACATTCTCCCCCTAACTCCTGAGGTGGACAGGAGACCGGCAGTTTGCCTTCAGAACCGGGAACAATGTCCCTGATGGAAATGATGGAGGCACTGCAAAGGTCGATAGGTCTGGTGTGTCAACCTATTCTTTTTTAAAGCAACTCTGTGTCTCCTGGGGCATAGAGAAGCATCAGTTTATGAAGAGACTGGTAGCACTCTGTTTGCCAAAAATTAACAATGGAGACATGAGGCCTGTTGTGTCTCCTGCCAGCCAAGACCAGAGGTCTGTACAATTTTAGAATCCATCTCAATTTCCATCATATAAAATGTATAGGAGGAGCTACCTAATTAATAACAATTTTTGCTTTCTGTGTCTAAGCAGTTTAATGAGACCCCTCTCAACTTTTTGCACTTGAAGCCTTTTCAATCTGCCCACTGAGAACCAGTGACCTTGGTCCTCAATGAGGCTCAGAGACTCTCCCACTGGACACCTGCCATCCTGAGCCTTTCGGTTCACAGCCCACTAGGTGTGACGACAGAAGGTGCACCTGTGTGGTGGATCACGGGGCTGCCTCAGCACCCACGGCGAGACCTCCACTGCAAGGCCGTTTGCTTCCTGATCGGCTCCTGCAAATGGGGAAGCCCCCCTGGAGACCTTGTGCTCTCACATGTCCCCGCTTCTCCGGGTTAAGCAGCAGCCTCCAGCTAAAATACAACCAGGTCAACAGCTGCACCTAACGGGGCAAGCACCAAAATGGGAAAGCAGCACTGCAAGTAATTGAGAAGCAGACACACCGGGGAAGTGGCATGACAGGAGTAAAAGAAGAGTTTCTTTTTTTTGATGTAAGAAATTTGAAAGATTTGTCACAGGTGTCAAACTGCTTCCATGGCCCATCAAAAATTATCATGGACTGAAGAGCAAAAGAAGCTGCAGCAGTGGTTTGCTGCCATTTAGGATGCCATCAACAATCCAGAGGAGAGGAAAGTTATAGGGCCCCAAGAAGAGATAGTCTCCTGAAATATTAGTGACTGGGAACTGACTTGAGCCAGCAAAGTGTCAGCAGACATTCACAGACTTGAGCAACAACATTATTCAAAAAGTCACAGACATTAAACGGACTGAAAATTGCACATTTCCATCAGGTTCAAGTCTCCAGATACACAGCCTTAAGCCTCAACTAGAGATAACACGAGTGTCCATTATGGACTAAGGCTGTTTTGAATTAACCATATCACAATCTTCTACTTGTCATTTTTGTATTTTCTAGCAGAACGACTCTTGTGTTAGACCAAAGGTTTTTCACAGTTTCTACCACCTTAAAAATTAAATACAACTCGATCTTCATCCAGAAAATAATTATTTCTTTGGAAGATATAAGGATAATGAACATGAAAATTTTCTTCTTTTTTTTTTTTTTTTTTTTTTTAAAACATACACAGAATTACAAAAAGAATAAACATTATTACTGATATGTCAAATTTATTACTTGGCAACTTTTCCAGTAGGCCTAAGCCCTAGATGTGTATTCAAGCTAAATCCAAATAGATTTTTTTTAAAGAAAATATTTATCTGAAGAAAAGCTTTTGTATTAGTCTATCAATCTCAACTAGATTTTTACTGAAAAGGTTTTTCAGAGCTAAAATGGAACTTTCTGTTCTGCTCTGCCTGACTCAGAACAGACATACAGGATTTAAGTAGAAAATCAAGAAGTAAAAAATTGGATATTTGGGAGTAGAACTTGATTTCTCTTGTTTGAGCTCCTCCACTCTGAATAAATAATCAAGGATTTGTGGCTAGAATGCACAAACAAAGAGACTTGGCAGTCTCTAGTTTTGCAGACAGGGTACTCACATGGCAGACCCAGGTTCAAGACCTTGCTCTGAATGAAGGAAAGGAGTGATTTCAGCTGAAGTCTTCCACATGAGGGTCAGCACCTTAGCCACTGGCTATTTTTGTGATTCAGAAGAGCAAGGCTCTGGCTTTTGTTATCATATATGAAAATGTTTAATTTGACCTCTATGTTGAATAGAAAGAACTTTTAAATACAGTACTCAAAACAGGTCTGATTAAAACGTCAAATACTATAATATCACTTACATACAGTAGAAATTATAGATTTTGGACCTTTTTTTAAAAAAATAAAATTAACAGGATTGGCTGCAGAATAGAGCTGCACTTTGGTTATGTCCAGATATGCACATGGTGCTTTTAAATACAGTGTATGTTTTGCTTTTAGCATATGGAGTTTGTCTGTGCATGGCTGGCACTGACTACCATTTTGTTGTAGGAGAGTTAAGATTTACCAGTGGATCTTACCAGTTCATTAATTGCACAGAAAAAGCTATAAACAGAAGAAAGCATTAGACAGATACTTAAGTGACCTAGTTCTGCTGGTTATTCTACTACTGACTTCACAATGCTAGACAAGCAATATCTCTTCTTTATTTCAGCCGTCCCCTGTCTATGTCTATATAGAAATCTCTACATCTCAATATCTCATTCAGAACACTTCACTCAGATTCTAAAACTGGTAGGAGCCTCAAAATCTACTGATGAAAACTTCATTACACTCAACAAATACCCATTAAAATTTATTTAAAATATGGTAAAATATTATGTTTGCAGTCTGTAAAGGAGTTTGATCTGTAAACCTTCAGCAAAGGACTTCTCAAGAACCAGTTGAAGAAAAGACTAACAGAGGAACTATATTTTAGCAATACTAGCTCCTAATGCATTCATATTTCAGTGATACCACGACTGCTTCTCTTAAACTTTGAAAGGAGCATTTAAGACCCACGTTTGCAGCTTACCTGTGAGAAACAGCTCCCCAGGCACCATGCTTATTTGTGAGTATATTGAGTATCTTCTGTTTCAGCTGATTGGCTGTAACATGATCTCGATGCTTAGCAGCACTGATAAGATGATCACACATCTTCTCCTCCTCTCTTCTGTCAGCAGCATACTGAGCACACTGTGACTAGGAATGAAAGTACAGCTACTTCATAAAAGATAGAGCATTTAGAATTACCTTAAAATTATTAAAACTCTTTAAATGTGACAAGAACTCATTAAAATACTTGAAGAGGACACACTGTTCAACTGAAATGGTTGTACTACTATATATTGTCTGTGAAAAAGCACTCATAATACTTAAAAATTGAAATATCGAGGGCAAAGACAACAGAATTGCAATTAAAAACATTTAGCTATATGTCTCTGTGTGTACATGTGTGACCATGGATATGCCTTAAAAGTTGGTCTTTATTTGTAAAAGTTTCATGTGTTCCCATGTATAAAATACAGGTATAACACACATAGCATAATATATAGAAAAAATGATGTACACTGGTTTTTAAATTTTTAAATTGCAGTAAAGCCTATAATTAAAAAGTTATTTGATTATTTTGGTATTATGGAAACTCCATTAACTATGAAATCAGGGAGTATATTTTTTATTTCATATTACAACATAAAAAATTTTCGGAACATACTACTTCTTAACCACACTTTTTAACCATAATGGTTAAAAAATCACACATCTTTTAAAACGAAAAAAAATCTAATGTTTTCATCGTGTTTCCTTTGAGAGATAACTACCTCTAAAATAAATGCTGTGGTTATTGACCTTCAAGTAAATTTGTTTCTAGAACTGTCCAAACTCTATAGTGTATTATAAATCCTTTCCTTATGTATAATAAAACCAATGTAATTTTTCAATTTCTTTTCTCAAAATTGTGTTAAGTTCAAGTTCAATTTCTCCTCTTAGTAACGATCTTTTCAAAATGTCTAAACAAAGGAAATATAGCCATATTAATTAAAACAAATCATTTTCTAGATATAAATCACAAAGGCTAGATTATTTTCAAAATGGCTAATTTTAAAATCACCTTTTAAGAGAGAATTTTGCATGCACAGTTATTGTGCACCATTTTAGAACATTCAACCAACACTCAATGCTGTAACAGTGCTGAATAGAATCCTATTTTCTAGTAGTCAAAAGAACAATTAAAATTAAGTTAACCTCATACTAAATTGCAGTTTTGTCTTCACATTTCTGCACGCTACCTTTTTAGTATAGATCACATAAACATTCAGTAAGATTTCAACAGTGGTCTTTCCACCGTATTAGAGCCATTATTTCAAGTAATCTATCTGGAAAAGAACAATCGTTACACTAATTCATAAAGGGTTAATTCATTTTTCAATTTATCTTCTTGTACAGGGAAGCACCAATTAGTACAATGATCTGCCTTAGTAATGAGGTTAATATTTCACCAGATCATTGGACAGTAAAATTAAATTTTCATTTTTCTTCGTGAACAATTACAAAGGTTAGCAAAATGAAAGTTAACTGTGAAACACCCATTCTGGGAGGAATTTCACTGGCCCTGACTGCAACTGGAGTTACAGGATAAAATTTAGATTTTGGTCTATGGCCTGCCCACTATGCAAGCAGCGCAGTAACTTGGTGCAGCTTGGACCAAATCATTTCACCCATAATGATTCAATTAAAGTTTAAAAGGTAAAAATAAAATAGCCACTCACTTCTCTGGCTGAGAGCAATGATTAATATGTACTAAAACCTAGAACATATACCAATACAGCTTATTAAAACAAAATGACAGATTTACAATTATGCAACAGAAAACTACCAGAAATCTCTTTGTCCCTACTACTTTCAAGTAGGATGAATAATAAAATGTTCAATTATATACCTACCATCATTAAAGACAATATATAAAACATTTTTTCAGACTTTAACCATCGCCTTATTTAAGTACATCTGAGTTCCTTATTTAACACAGGCTACATTTCATAATTTTCTTTTATGACTTGCAGATTTTATCTTACTCATCTAAAACGTGTAGCTGAGGTTTTTCATGTGACAAATATAATGAAAATTTTCATATATGAAAAATGTGTTGGTTTCTTTACTAGACAATAAGACTGACTTAAGGCTATTCCTTTAGGGAATTTAGTTAATATTCTAAATCCTATTTGCTAACAGAAGCTGGAAGTTAATTGAATATTCTCATTTTGTCTAGAGTTCTGACAGATCTTATACCTCAATGTATTCTTCAAAGAGCAGATAACTCAATCTTCTATTGTCATCTTAGGTTACCGCATGATGCTCTGATAAATATCAAATGTTATTTATTGTTGTGGAAATATGAAACTTCACTCTGACACACACTTAATTGTAAATGTGATTTTATCTAAGTTCAAAATATCCAGTATATGCTTGGTAATAAAGTTGTTGCAATCCCATATGACAAGTGTCTGCTGTCTGCTCTGACAAAATGAAGTAAAGGTTATGTATATTCAGAATGACAACAGATATCTCTGTGTCTAACACTTCTCAGCTGGGTCAAGGAGCACAAGAACTAGTATATCAAAGTGCACATTTAAGAGAGCTGTTTCAAGGAGATAAAAACCTAATCAAAATTAAGATTACTGGATCCTATTTCTAGCCACCAGGTGCTTGTTGACGTTTTCTGACAGATTAATAAATTGATATGGCTATTTATTATCAGCAATACTAAGTCAGTCTATCTTAATCCTAATGTTAGGTCACGTGAGCATTAAAACGTGGAAATTTATGTTCGTGCATAGATACTTACATACACACAAATGTACAAAAGCACAGGTAGGTTTGGAAATAGTAAAAACCAGTGATGCTGAAATGTTGCATAAAACACCATAAAAATGCAAAACCATATTTGATAATATCATGTCAAAACCGAAATTTGAACTTTACTTCATCACTTCTGTATGATTTTTTTTTTTTTTTTAATAGGAACAAAATGAATCCTGAAGAAATAATCAAAAACCTGTTAAACTGAACACTTTTTAAAAATAGCCTTTTTTATATTTGTATCATTTTCAAGCAATGTAATTTAAATTGTATACTCAACTCTCATTGATGAAAAAAGCAATTGAACGTTTATTACTTATAGGAGTATGAATTAGACATTAAAGAGTTATGGGACTAAGCTGCTCTGTTAATTCTTCAATACATAAAAAGGATAGACATTTTAAACAGTCTTACTGTCAATTCATAACTAGCAAGAAAGATATGAAATATCATATTTCAATATATAAATTTTAGCAAGTAAATGTTTGAAAGTGCTCTGAAATGCAAAAATTTCTAATGAAATTACCTTAAAATATTAATTCTATTTAACACATTTCTATTTCTTACTTTTCATGTGGCTTAAGTGCATGAATTGCTTTTCTTTCTTAATGAACTCATAAAAACTGTTAATAAAATCCAACAAAAATAATTACTGATGTGATTTGCATTATTATTTGCAATAAATCAGAAAAGTTCTTTGTAAACCTAAGGGTCTGCCATTTCAGTTTAAACATTCTAATTAAGGGATTTCTTCAAGCTGTAAATGTTTTCATGAATTTCAGTGAGGAGATGAGAAATTAAACCCATTCCTTGTGTTTGACATTTACAAAGCTTTTAAAACCTAGTTTTGAAATGCCTTCAATGTAAATTTCTTTCTTGGAAGGAAAAAAATCTTTATTGTATGGGGTCACAGTGTAGGTGACAACTGAGTCAAAACAGAGAAGCGGAAATGCACCAACTCAGGCTTACCTCAAACTCAGCATGCTTGTGGACATCTTCAGCTCTTTGTCGGTTCAAAATAAATTCTGCTTCATTTGCGACACGCACTATATGGTCTTTCATGGCATGACATAGTAATCTAGAATAAGAAAAATCAAAATCAACCTTTGCATATGATGTTCTTCAAATAAGCTATTTCAGCAGATTTACTTAAAATGGAAACAAATTTATGAAACTACTGTAAAAAAATTGCCAAATTAGTTGACAAGAAAAATTTAATTTTATCCAAAATTGTCTGCATTAGTGAAAGCACAAACAAATCATGTTATATGCAAAAAGCTTTCTTATTATTACTGAAGGGAAAAATTCTTTATGGAAGTATTATATTTTGAGTATGTTTTTAACAGCAGTCTTAATATGAATATGAATACTATACTATCATTAAAAAAACCCTAGACAACTGCTTAAACTCTTACTGATACCATTATATGATTAAATATAAATATTCCAGTTTCCAAGTCTTAAAAACCCATAAGATTAATGAAGATTTAAAATTGTACTGAAATTGCAAAATAATATAAATATCCCTTGTATTTTTTTCAAACACAAGAGTGAAAAGTGCATCAGGTTTCCAAATTTTTATGGCATCAGAACTAGAGAAATCTCATTTAAAAAGAAGGAAAAAATAGATTAAGATTGGACTGAGGCTGAGGATGTCAGACACCTTAAAGTAAGGCTCTTGTAAAGACCAACAAATACCGTGAGATACATAATAAAATTTCAGCATAAACAACACTGTGTTGTTAATGATGCCAATATCTTATTGGGCAGGAAGAATGGAAGCAACTGCTTTCTCCTCCCTGCAGTCTTTATCTAAGGTTGTCAGTTCTATTAAATATTGCTTTGCTCTTATCAGCTGGGAGGAAATATCTTTCAGGATGCAAAGATATGATAGGTCTGTTTAGAATCAGAAAGAACTGTTTCTCTTTGTGTCAAATTGGCACACAGTCTGGGATTATCCTTCTTGCAACATCAGGGAAATTCAATTTCAGAGATTCTTACATTAAGAACGCAAAATTTCTAGCAAATTCCACCCTAAGGTTGGTGTCTGGTGCTTAGAAGCACCACAAATAAGAGTGACAAGTATTAGAAACTAAAACCATGATTACTAGACCTTACACCTATAAAATGGAAAGATCTGAACTCTATTCTTGCTTCCCTTGGTGTGTTCTACCATCTCTGAAGGAAAGAAATCACCCTGAGCTAATGTTTAATATGGATATGTGGCATGGGAAGACAAATGTTGGGGCCCCTGTTCAGAGATAAACAAGCTTGGATCAAGGTTTCACAGTGGATATTTCGACATTTAATAAGCCTTTTATTATATATAACCCTTTGCTATTCTTGAAAGCAAAAAGCTTTTGGCAAACTATAAGCTGAAAGACTAAAGTTGCCTCCACTGTAGGTTTAGGTTTATTTTTTTAATTTACCTTGCTGGAAGATAGGCTTTAGTATTTTATTACAGATATAAGTATTCAGATTTTTATTGCTACAGTGTAAGTGCAGAACTACCCTCAGATATGGATGAGGAGTGAGCATTCATGACTTTAACAAGCTTCTCTAAAATGAGACAATACTAGAAGTCAGTGTTTAACATCTTCAGTCAAATTTTGCATCACGGATCTTCGTGAACTTTTCCATTGTGACATTAATGACCTGGAAGCAACTAACTAGGATGTCAATACTGAACACAGATTTCAAGGGTCTACTAGCTGTACATCCCTTCCTGAATGAATAAACTATTGAATAAATAGAGCACAGTGCAAAATCAGTATCTTTGAGTCAGCTGTGGTTCAGGTGGGATTTCTAGTTCCAAACGACATTAGGTGAAGTCAACAGGTTCCTTAGACACTGCCTGCCACCAAGAATTTGGTGAGTAAAGATTGAGACTAACTTTGATCCACTGGGCTTATTATTTGGGACAACTGGGCATAGTTTTTACACCTCAAAACCCAAACTAAGCTTCCTCTGTTCACGAGCAATGGTAAATACACACCATCTTCATCTTGTTTGTATTTATCTATAGTAAGAAGTGTTCACATTATCTGTGCCCATTTATGCACTAAAACACCTACAAGGGACTTCAAATGGATTCCCAGAGAATGCTAATTTCCAGAAATAAATCTCTTGCCAATACTCAGGGAAAAGATATAAAATAAAAAAAAATAATAATTAAAAATCTGCTAACACTGGTCTCTGGATACTTTTCAGAAAACAAAAACTTTTATAGACAGGCAGCAGATGATTCAAACCAGCTGACTGAAACTGCTGGTGACCCCAGCTATACCTCCCACCCCTCTAATGGACCTTTCTCCTCCAGAGACTGAGACCTGATGCATTTGGGAACACCTTTGGAGTGCTGCAGTTTTGGGACAGCACATTAGGCAAAGTAAGCCAGATTTCAGGTAACCTTGACATGTCACAGGTCTTCAGGGTCCAAAGTCAAGGAGGTGACAAATAAGAGGTGAGCAGGGAACATGTCTGAGCACTGTGTCCTGACTGCCTACAGCACTCAAATCATTAGCTTGGCCCCAACTAATTTTTTGGCTCACTCTAACTTCTACCCAGAAAATGTATAGGCATGGTCCAAGGGACAGTTCACTGAAGACACATTCATGAGACTGAATCAAGTTAAACTCTCTCCAGTGTTACCCAAGAAAGTTGTGCAGGTGTTTTCATGCCATACCCCGGCACACACAGAATACATCATTTTGTGGGTAGCCCTCAGGTTCCAAACAATCTGAACTGACAAAATAGTAATGATACTTTAAGGTGAAACAGGAACCATACAGGCTTCAGGGAAGATCTGGACTAAGTGCTATGCAGGATGAATGAAGACACTCTGCTCTAGCAGGTGCTAACCTTAGCAGTATGAACATTGGCGAGTCCCAGCTACTTGATTTAAAACTACAGACATACCTGCTCTCTCCCATTTTGTTTGTTGTCAAAAATCTTATCTATGGGATATCTCAGCATTATTTCAACTGTGTCTAGCCAGTTGTTTCATGCACTCTTGTATCTCTAACACTGATTATGACTTCTTCAAGAAAAAGATGAAAAATTGTTTGTATGGTGGTCAGCATGTTGGGATTATGACAAAAATGAGGCCACAGCCTATCAACACTATATAATAATTAAAAATAGTGTATTAATGTGCGTTAATAGGAGACATATTGTGATTGGTTACCTTAGGTGCTTGTATGCACCTAAGATAGTACTTCAAAGATAGGTAAACTATGCTTTTGCATCAGAAGATTATTCAGAATTACACTAGTCTTAAAATCACTTGCCAGAAAGACATAAGTTTGAAAAAGAGAAGGGTTAAATTCTAAGACATCATTTAGAAATCTTGCATGCATCGAAAGAAGCTTGGTCAGGATGTTTTGATTTGCACATGCAAGAACATAGGGCAGAAAACAGAGGCATAATAAGTTAAAGCGGTTAAATACATCATTTTAGCTTTGAAAGGAAAGGTAGCTACTACAAGCTCAGGGAAGCAGTGCCTTACAAACACTTTTGCAAAGGAACTTGCTTATGTACTTTCTGTATGTGTTCAAGGAAACTTGTTACTTTTTGGAATATAAAAACTATTTTAAAATATTTTTTGGTACTGATTGTTACTTCTCATAGGAAGCTAATTTGTATTCTCAAACTGTATTTCTACTAAGCAAAAGATGTCAAAAGTGTTGCTACTGTTATATAGGGATTAAGTCATAGCCAGGTAAATCTGATTGATTCTCAGATTCATAGAGACACAGCACAACTCAGCATACTGTCCTAACTGTATTACACCTGAGGCACATGCATGGTAATGTCGTCATCCTTTGAACAGTTACCGATTTATCTAAATACTTACTAATTCAATCATGTGCGTGGCATAAGATTTTAAAAAAAAAATAGAACAATAAACCTTAGATTTTTCTGTCATGAGAAAAAGTGCTTACAACTATCTTTTGGATTCTCATAGAAAAAACAATAGTAATTATTCAGAAAGGATCCCAAACAAGAAAAAAAATCTCACACAGTAGTATCAAAGGCTGCCAACACATCAAAAAAAATCTTTCACACACTGCAGATAAGAGGAAGGAACAAAGACCTTGAGGTCAGTAAATTTACTCTTTCACTGTAGCACATAGCTACATCAGTACAAACTCTTTCATAAACTATCTTTAGTTTATGAAAGGATTTTCATGAAACCTAGCTCATGAAATGTGTATTCAGTTTATGAAGATGTAATCAAGTTGCTTGCCTCCAAGACAGCTTTGGAAGGTCCCCTGAAGGTTAAAACCCTTTTACTTTCCTATCCAAATGTATTGTTCAGCAGTCTTTACTGCTTCATTTGTTGCAAATGTTGCCCTTAAGTTTACACAATTCTTCTTCCTTCTGTTGACCTTCTGATATTCCAGCTATCCCTATTTTACTAGGCTAAGTAAATCACCTCTCTGGCTTTTCTTATATGGCAAAACAGTAAAAGAGATTGCCTTTTGGGTTTTTTTTGGGGGGGTTACTGATTTCATATGCTGATTTTACCTTTTCTGCAAGTACATAGCTAAACCTGTCAGTAACATTCTAGACAAGTTCTACTCACTATTTGCATAGTAACTTTAATGCTACCTTATTTCAATGGAAATACCTCTTCTGATGTACTTCTAGAATAGGTTTTTCCTTTTTCTTAGTTCCATATTCTATGATTTTGCAAAAGAAAATTTCAGTGATAGATTGGTCTTTCACTGCCTCAGGCACTTCCAAAAGATGAACCAATAGTCTCTAGCTTATATTCTCAAGAACACGAACTCCATGTACTGTTATGTTATAAAATATTTATGTAACATATTACATTGTATACTATTTATATTAATGTAGTTTTGAAACTCATCCAGTACATCCTAATTGGTATTTCAGTCATCTGCCCAACTATGTTTCCTATTCACAGATTTTTACAGAGCACTCCCTTTTGGGGAAAAGTCTATTCTCTGCATCTTTCCCAAACCATCATCCTGTACTGGAGTGACCAATGAAAGTAAGAAGGAGCTTTGAGGCACAAAATGCTAAACAGAGGGAAGAGCTGAAATTTGAGAG